GGCCCGAGTATATATTTGGAATATCCGTGATACGATGCTATTACAGATTTGTTTGTGAGTTTTGTATGTAAATCTCCTGGTGAGATAGTTAGTTGGGACTATGAGGGTTATAAACCCTAATTTATTAAAGTTTCCTGATGTGGTAGATTTAGTTAAACGGCTTACGAGTTAATCCTATTGTAGTTATATCATTGTGTTAATGAGTTTGGTGACAAATAGTTATGGAGTATAGTTAATAGTAACTTATGCCAAGGAACTTGATAATTGTTGGTTAGGTATTGGCATGAGATGAGGGGGAAGGTAGTGTAGGTCGAGGACCAAAGTTGATGTATCTACCAATTGAACAGGTGAGTGACACTACTCTAACATTTGTTGTTGTTGGTACCTGTATAACACGGTATGCGTGTTGTATTGATGATATTATATTGGTGATTATTGTGATTTTATATGGTATGTAACATCTATTTTTTACATATATTTTGTTGTTGGACCCTTGAGTTATGAATTGTTTGCAAGAAGGATCCCCAATGGAAATTCCATGACTTTTGGTTGCTGCTTGAGTATGTTGGCGTACACGTTGGTACGCTGAGCGTACTGTGACCCGCGCCAGTACGTTGCATGTACTCCGGTATGCTGGGCGTACGTGGTTCAGACCAAAACCCTAAAATTTAGGGTTTGTGCACTATTTAAGCACCATTATAGCCCCAAGACCTTTCCCTTTATCAGCCTCCATCCCAAGATCGACCTTCCTTGCCAACCCTAGTCCATTTTGAGTATTTTGAGTTTTTGGAGTGAGTTGTGTGCTTCCTTTTTTGTGAAGAAGGACCTTCAAGGACCTTTAAAATGGTAGGGTCTTAAGGCAATAAGACCTTGTTATGTGTTTTGATTTAGGGGTGCATACACTGGGCGTAATTCCCAATACACCATGCGTACTACACCTCAGTGGCGATCCATTCCTGCATCGGTCGAGTACGTTGCGCGTACTAGTTGGTACGTTGGGTGTATGGCCCAGTCCAGCTTTGGTGATTTTGGGCTTTAAATCATTGGGTTTTGCTTGTTGGGCTTGGGCCATAGATTTTAATGGTAATGGGTCAATTCTGATTTTGGGCCCATTTTGGACTTTGGGATGATCTTGGGAGTTGGGCCTAGGATTTTATTGGGCTTAAAAGAAAAGGATAAATTGGCCCTTTTACCTTGGACATTAGGCAAGTAATGCAGGTTTTCAACTATGGGTTATGTCCCAATTATTAATTGGGGCTTTGTTTGTTTAGTTAACACAGTGATTTTTCCAGTCCAGCAGCCAGATCATTTATCTAGTTTTTCAGCAGTTGAGGTGAGTTTCCTCACTAGATCCATGGGTCGAAGGCACTAATGCCGACCCATTGCTTGTTGTGTAGGATGTTAGATGCCTTGTGATAATTATATGGAAGACTAGGATCTAGCCCCTGACATTTGCATGAAAGACCAGGGTTTGGCCCCTGGCAGTTATATGAAAGATCAGGATCTGGCCCTTGGCATTTGTATGCAAGACCGGGATTTGGCCCTCGGCACTGAACGGGAAGACCGTGGTTTGGCCTAATGGCAGGAAATGATTATATGACTACGATTTAGTCCATGGAATTTATCTTCTTTCATGTGTGGTATATGGTACTTGGGGGAACTCACTAAGCTTTATGCTTACAGTTTATGTTTATGGTTTTAGGTACATCCAGTTCCAAAGGGAAGGGCCCGACGTGATGGAATAACATCATCCCCTCACTATTTTCCGCATTTAATATATTTATACTATGATGTTTGGATATTAGGACTTGATGTTGTTTCTGAACAATTTAATGGATGATTTAACAAGTTTTAAAAAGAAAAATTTTACTATCATTTTTGGGTCGTTACATGGTACCTCAGGATGGTACATGATTATATGCATGGGATATTGCATTTTACCACATGATGGTGTATATATATATATATATATATATATATATATATATATATATATATATATGTGTGTGTGTGTGTGTGTGTGTGTGTATGTGTGTGTGTGTGACTGTGTGTTATCTCGGATTAGAGATAATGGTATTTAATTGGTTTGATTAGTCTTGGTGGTATATTTATTAATATGTATTATCTCGGATTGGAGATAATGATATTTGACTGGTTTGGCCTTAGTATTTTACCAGGCAAGATTATTATGTAAATGTGTTGTTGGATCTCTTAAGAGATATTAAGGATATTCGTTGGGTGGATTATCTGTGATATTTAATTGTTACTTGATCATTTTGTTATATGTTACTGTAGCTGTTATTCACTAAATCATGGGGCTTACGGTGTTTGTTTGTGAATGTTTTGCAGGTTAAAGATTGTAGCGGCCGACTCGATCATATGCTTGCAACCAACACGATCCTGGTGATAACTTATTGTGCTCCAGTATGCCAGTGTATACCAAAATGTTTTGTAAATTTTTTTTATATACAAAATGTATTTTTGGGTATACCTAGTGTGGAAATCTGGGCGTTACACTGGCGGAGATGGGGAAGATGATGGCGGAGGGGGAGACGACGACTAGGTTGGGAAAAGAGAGAATCGATGAGAAGGTGTTGGTGGATTCATGGAGTTTTTCATTAATCTGGGTTTTGTTGTAGAAGTTGTTCCAGACAAGAAGAGGAAGCGTTTGAAGAACATGAAGATCATCATCATTATCATCATCATCATGTTTCCTCTTCAAATAATGAATTGAGATTTTTGATTCAGGGGAGTAATTATTGTTGAAGTTGATCAGATCAAACTCTGAAGAACAAGATGCAGATGAAGACGATGATGAAAAAGCAAGGCCCAAATGAAGCTCCATTCTTTTTCTTTTATTTTTGCAGAGTTCAAATCAACAGTATCATGGAATATAAAAGGATGTGGGTATGTTGTATGTATATATACAGACCAGTTGGTATGTATATGTAGAGAGAGAGAGAGAGAGTGTGTGTGTGTGAGAGAGAGAGAGAGAGAGAGAGAGAGAAAGAGACCCTCTTTTATTTTAAATTATAAATATTGTTAAATAACTATTAAATTTTTTAAAAAATGAAAGAAAATGGAAAATAAGTACATCAATGTCATAACAGTCATTTCAATTTTTCGAATGGACCAAATACGCAACGAAACTAGCTCAAAAGGACTACCAATCCAAAAATGGCGTGGTTTGGACCAAAACCCAGAAAAATGCATACCACAGAGACCATTTTTATAGTTTTGTCTATGGTTTAATAATTAATTAGAAACTAAATAGAAATTATATAGGGAATTAATTAAATAGTTTTAATTAATTTAAAGGAGTTGAATATTAATTAATCAGTAGTTGGTTAATTGCAATATTCCAGAACCCTTAAGGAAATAGGGTTGGACGAAATTCACTTCGTCCCACATGGGATGGGAGGTGAAATTCAAATTTGACTTCTGTCACACATGGAATGGGAAATAAATCTTAGGAAATGATCCAAGACTATAAATAGGGCTTTAGGGATCTCATAATTCCTTGCACATTGGCTTGATAAATTCGCAAATCTTCCTCCCTCCATAGTGGATGAATTCCTCACCCTCCTAGGTTTTGTGAAGTTGACCCTCCTTCTAATTAATCTTATTCTACTGGAGTTTATTGGGTGTGAACCAAGAGAGAGATTCTAGTTTGGATCCTTACATCAAAACAAGGTGGCACGCACAACGTCTCAAGCTAGAAGGTCACTAACTGCAAAAAAGGTACGTAGTTCTTCGTTTTTTATGTTTTATTAGGGTAACAGTAATAACATAAAAACTTAGATCCTTAGGTTGCATGAACACATACGATTTTGAGTTGTTTCGCTGCGCCATGATCATCTGTTTAGATGCATAGAAAACCTAACACCTCCAAAATATTTCAATTTATTCAATATCGCATGTCGACCACACAACTGACCACATGAAATTCAAAACAAATTAAAATACACATCTTTCATCTCGTTAGATGAATTGAAGAAGATTCATGACGCTTTGGTACGCTCTGACTGGATCAATGTCATAAAAGAAGAATTTGCGTAGTTTGAAAAGAACTATGTGTGGATTTTGGTTTCCACTCCAAAGCATCAAGCCATCATCGATGCATGTTGGGTTTTCTGTAACAAAGTACACAAGTCTGAAATTGTAGATCAAAATAAAGCCAGACTAGTTGCAAAATGTTATAGTTAGTAAAAAGGAATATATTATGAAGAAATCTATGCTCCGATTACCAAGATTGAGTCCATACACACTAGTTGCAAAATGTTATAGTCACTAAAAAGGAGTAGATTATGATGAAACCTATGCTAGGATTACCAAGATTGAGTCCATACGCATCTTCATGGCTTATGTGGCACATAAGATAAACATTAAGGTTCACCAAATGGATTTCAAAAGTGTTGTCCTCGACAATGAACTAAAGGAAGAGGTGTATCTTCAATAACCTTCTAGATTTGAAAATCTACAGCTTCCGGTCAACCATCAACGCACGAAGCACATTGAGATTGCCATTCATTTTTATCGAGACAAAGTCGATATGGGTCAGATTCGTGTTCTTCATGTACCCTCATCATATCAGTATGCTAACATCTTCACCAAAGGGCTTCCATCGTCTTTATTTCTCGATTTTAGATCCAGTCTGAACGTTCGTTCGAGACCTCTCATTCCTACTGCGGGGGGTTGTTAGCGTATATATTAATATATGTGTATAATATTCATAGATAACCCATTTATATGTATTGATTATTAGTCAGCCTATGTTTTGTACTTAGCCCAATACTATTGTACATGTATTTATTTGGAATAATGGAATACGACTCATTATGGGAGAATACCATTTGTAACTATTAGTGCCGCCTACGAAGCAGAGTTTTGGATCCGCCACCGGTTGCAGAAGGACTTGGGCATAGATTAAATAAAACATTTGTTTCTTAATATCTTATAATAACATTTCCTTTTTTAAGGTATACCATTCATGCAAAATACTTGTACAAACTAAACCAAATACAGTGGCATAATAAACACAAATACAAATGCACAAAGCAGGAGTACAATTGGAAATGTCATCTTTTAGATCCATTACGGCTGCTAGCATATCGAAGAAAAGATGCACTTTTTGTGATCTCACGCAAAGGCTTATCGGTAAACCGTATGATGTTGTAGACCCATGCACCAGAAATGGCTCCGGCAGTTGGCCCTAACATGTAAACCCAAATCCCTCTATATTCATTTGACACAATCGCCGGACCTAAACTCCTTGCTGGGTTCATTGATGCCCCTGATATCGGCCTGCCATCACCAAGAAAAAAGTAACATAGAAATGTAATTCCTAAGAAAAAAGTAACATGGAAATTACATTTCTTGTCCTTGAGTATAACTATTTTCTTAAAAACTTTTGATATTCTTTTTGCAATTTTGTCATGATGTAAAGTTCTTGTAATGTTTTTGGTTATAGTCGTAAGTGACTCTATTAAGAAAATTGCAAAAATAGCTATATCTAAAGACTAAAATATAGTTATTTTACTTAGAACATAGAAAAAAAACGTTAAAAACCTCAAAATAAAGAACAAATCTAATATATAAAACAATTTGGATCAAAATTGAAAAACTAAGTTATACTCGATGAGAAAAATGTAATTTACTCAAAAACAAATGTACTTTAAACGTTTTTAACCAAATGAAAAGCTAAATTATAAGATAAATAAATATTTATCGGTCTCGTACCCTGCAAACATGACATTGAGTAAAACTGTTGCTCCAACCGCTAGTCCGGCTAATTCTCCGATCTGCATAATAATAATAATTGTTATAAATATAAAAATCTAAAAACTTTTCTGGAATAAGTACTAGCGGATTCTTCATTTCAAGTTCGAAATATCTTGTAACCAATTATTGAAACTTTTTAGTTATTAAGAAAATTTCCTAATATAAATAATAATAAATTATGAAAAATTATATGCTATAATATACACAAATCATGGAGAAGATGGGGCAATCCTATTGGACCATGACCTGTTCGCGTAATATCTATCTAGGAGTCAAACAAAACTATTTAATTCCATCATTTTCTTGCATGTTGATCAACTCATATTTAATGTTTTAATTTATTATTTCGAAAAATATAATATTCCACAAATAATAAAAGTGTAAAAAGATATGCATGATACTAACAGCTCGGTTATCGGTAGCAACGCCGGAGATGACAAACATGAGGTAGAATGTGATGATAAATTCAAGAACCAACGACTGGAGATCGGATCCACCGGGAAGGGTTCCGGCGAAATGATCTTGCCTTCCGTTGAATATTAAACGGAGAGTTCCGCTTGCTAGGGTTGATCCCAGGACTTGAGCAGCAACGTATGCTGGCACCTTCAAGAAACAGATATAATAATAATTTATCAAAAATAAATCTGTTGGTTTTTGGTGGGAATAATTGATAATTTAATTAGTAATATTTTTTTATTCACAACTAATCTAGAACTAACATTAGGAAAAGGAAACAATATATTTTCAAAGTTGATATATTTATTTCATATCTTCTAACTCTTGTTTGATTCATATTTATATAATTAACTAATTAATTGTTTATTTAAGGATGTATAAGAAGTCCCATCAAATTTGATGAATCAGGCAATTCGTCCATAATATAAGCACTTATTTGCTCGGATAAGATTCCTTTCAGTTTACGTAAATTATTACTTTCTTCTTACTATATTACTTTGTATTGACGATTATTCTAACAAATAGTTAATTAATTACTTGTTCATGTGATAATATATATATATTTTTGTTTTCAGTTTTTTTTTTCTACCACAAATTGAATATTTACTGAGATTATATAAGTATGTTTCAATTTAAGATCAAGATATTTAATCAGGTAGCCAATGCTTATTTATAGGAGGACATTTTTTTTCCTAATGTTTTTTCATAACATTATGCAAGCGTATTTTTTAGATAAATATCATTTGATCTTTTATTATATTGATATTTTGTATCTGATAAACGCTGTTTACATGCACTAAATTGAAAATAATTTTATTTTACAGTTTCTTATATATAAATTAACCAACACATTTAGTACCAATGAAACCACAAATGACAATTGACAAGTTCCTACCGGGCTTCATATTTATATTCTCTAATTAATCATGAAAAGATTATAAATATTTGAATAAACTTACATTATGTATGTATTCGAAATATTTCATGCATAAACTAAACAATATTTTCCTATATTATAAGTATAATCATAGAATTAAACTGACAATTATATAATAGTAGATTACATACTCGTATATTATATATTGAGTAAAATAAATATTAAATAACAAGAGTAAACATTAAAGACTTTTAAACATGAGATATTTCAACATTCCAAATTAGAAACATATGGAGATCAAGGGGAAAGTTAGATAGTTTAGAACATAAAAAGTGACAAGTGTCCATAATTAAAATTACTTATTTATTATATATAGAAGATAGAAGTTTTACCTGTTTCAAAGGGAACCTATTACAAGAGGCAAAAGCAATGGTGACTGCAGGATTAAAATGGGCACCGGAGATATGTCCAACAGAATAAACCATGACCATCACCACTAACCCCCAGACGATGGAAATTCCAGGCAGACTCACTATTTTGTCCTTATCTGTATTTACCACAACCGCTGCACATCCGGCAAATATAACAAAATATGTACCCAGCACCTCCGCTATCAACTATTCACAAAAACAGTTCCTCATCAAACTTATTTAGTAATATATATTAATGAATTCCACAATTAGATAGAATTATATCTTTTAAAATTTTGAATTTTTAGATTGGTTGTTGGTGGTAGTTAATGAGATTATGGGTCAACTTAGATTTGGAAGCCGGCCAACCTTAACGGCTAGTGAAGAACCGTTCAAAGTTTCTTTTTGAGTCAACTAATTTAATGAATATTGTGTTTCTTTAGGAACTTCAAACAATTTCTTTTTTCCTTTTTGATGAATTAAGTTACAAAAAAATGAAATGACTAAGATATAAATAACTTATTGGAAAAAAAAGAAATTGTAAATCGTATCATTTGCAGGCCAATGTAAACATCTTCTAAATTCTAAATATATATGTACATTCTTGTTTATATTTATTTTAGGAATGCATTAGATTTTAATATGAATTTATTAATTATATGCAAATATAATATATAGCTTTATATATATATATATATATATATATATATATATATATATATATATATATATATATATATATATAATTCCACTTAATGGAGGATTTAAAAAACCAAAAAACTAAAAATCCGCAATGAAAGAAAGTACAGTCCTTCAAAAACGATTTAGTCTTATTCTATTGGACGAATCAAACAATCATTTTCTTCATTCCTATAGAATGAACAAATACTAACTAGGAATTTTAATGGCCGGCTGGATAATTTTGAGAAAGATAATGTGATTGTGTTAAATAAATACATCACTAAATCTATTAAATATACACATTTATTTGGACAAAGCAATAACTTTTTTCTTTTGTTCACATCGGCACCTATCATATGAGTTTTGTACAATCGCATTTTATAAGCAAAACAACATACGACATGTCTGTAGATGACAAATTTCGTTCAAATAAAACAACTATAAAACAAAAAAAAAAACAACACATCGATGTTGCCGACAAGGCAAAAAATCAAAATAAAGGATTGGAACAAATATGTTGTTTTTAGGTTTTGACTCAATTTGCATACACAATACTAATACTAAGGATGAACATTGGTCGGGAACCGGAACGAGAACCGAAGAAACGGAAACCGGTTTAGTAGGAAATAAAGAACCGAAAACCAAACCCAATATCTCCCTTCCAGTTCCCTTTTTTTTTCCAGTCCAGGTTGCAATTGATTGAAAAATTAAGGAAAAGGAGAAAACCTTTTGAAGAAAAGGAACAGTGGGAAAGCATGAAATTCGATGGGATTGATCTTCAATATTCAGGGTGACGGCATGGTGGCCGTTAGGGACGGCGGCAGAACTAGCACCACCTCCTCCTCCGTCAATCTCCGCCATAAGCTTCTCTTGTATGTGATTGAAGTGGATATATCAGAAAACAGATACTGGTGGGCTTACCAAAAACTGGCCTCTATTTATGCTGGTAGGGGAAGGACATGAGGGATGGACTTGTTGGGCATCGCTATTTGACTTTTTTTTAACATTTATTCACACGTTATTATTTATTCTTTTCTTTTGAAAATTAAATGTAACATATTATCATATCGGACATATGTCTTAACAATAATCAATTAATAATCATAATAATAGAATACTTCATCATAGATCTAGTATTTGTTAACATAAAATCAAAATTAGTGAATCAAAATCAAAGTTACAAACTGTTGCACACTTTGTATAAATGGTTTGTGCATGATAATAAGTTTACCGCAAATATATAATTACTTTTATGAAAATGAAAATATGGAGAAAATAATTTTGTAATTTTTTTTGACAAAATAAAAATATAATTTTGGATTTTGATAAAAAAATATTATAACTAAGGTACCGAATATTGTCTTTTCCAAAAAAAAAAAAAAACCACATTGATTTTGTGAAGTTTTAATAGATTACTAATACAAATCATTATTAACGTGTATATTACCTACTTCTTTTTGTTTAATTGGTTTAACTTTTATGTATTTTCGTCCTTCTAAATAAAAACATATATGTATTTAACTTTTACGTTAGTATTGTTCTCCTATTTACTTTTATACTATGTAATGCTTGTAACGCTTCGCTATAATCTATTAGGTATGTTCGTCCTTCTAAATAAAAACTAATATGTATTGCCAAATATTATACTTGTTAAATCGTTCTTCATATCATCATTTTGTGCAAAGTTAATAATTTCTGTTTAAATAGTTATTGAAAATTGGATGTTCTTTATAACATATGTATAAATAAAATTAATATTGCACTTTATCTATTATTTTTGTATTAATAAAATAATAATTGGCATGGTGTATTAGTATATCAAAAACATAAACGGATAAAAAACACTAGGTGTAATACATTCATTAAAAACTAGCAATGCTACAACCACCCACCGGCAATGTAGAGGAACTTGTGTATTTAATACACTTAGCATGTGGACTTATTAAATTTTTTACTTTTGTGGATCAATGTATATCTAGTATTCAAGCTGAATAAATGTCCATCGAAAAATAATTAAGTATTAAAATGACAAAAAGATGATCGCCAAGGCCATCAACATCCAAGGATCCGAGACACATATATTTGTCATTTTGTGTAAGTAAAAAAAAAATCAAGATAAGACAATATTTCAATCAACATTGTCCTGTAGTGCAGTGGTTAAAATTTGAGTATCTTCTAGCTTTTTGATATCTTGAATGTTTCGTGGATCCTAAAAAAAAAATCTCGAACGGCCGAATTTTATGCATAAAACACTAACACCTTCTTAATAAAGCAAAATAATTACATAGTAATGTTTAAAATCAGGGTTTTTAAAGCAAGAAAATCAATCGAACACCAAGGCATTTATAAACAAAAAAGCAACATAGGTTTATTCACAACAAAAAAGCAAGACATTTATAAACAACCAAAAACTCCACCAAGTTGTGAATAAAATCACCTCCACACCACCTTCTTCTTAGAGGAAAGATAAACGGCGTCCATCTTTTTTTTGTAGAACCCGCAAATATTTTTATAAATGGTCACCGCCTAGCAAGTAACTAGGCGGGGCAAACAAAAGAAAGAAACATGATAAAGTTTTCTAGAAGATTACAAACAATTTAGTGGGCAAACACACCACTCGACCCATTTATACATTCAATTAGTTCTCCTATGTTTCACCCATGTGTACACTAGAGACTTGACATTATCCACTGTCTTTGTCGGGGAGATCCGCATTTTTTTGAAAACCCATTCACACCTCGCTTTCCAGATTAGCCAAATGGCGCCATAGCACACACATATGAGATACTTCCTTTGTTTCTGCCAGTTTCCCCATCTACCTATAAATGCAATCAATTCACCAATATTTGCAAATTGGGGGACCGAGATAGCACACCATTTGAATAACCATTCCCAAACCGTGGCAACAAAGTGACATCACATCAGGATATGATCAACATCTTCATCAACTAGTAACAATACTCACACAATGTGGATGTGATTGGCACACCTCTTCTCTTTAGTGAACAGGCAGTGGGAATTCTCCCTAAATTTGCTCTCTATATAAAGCATGTGACTTTAATTGGAACTTCATGAATCCAAGGTATAACTACTTCATTAGCCGCCCGTTGGGATTGGTCAATTCTTTGTCTGAGAACATCCACATGGTACTTGCCATCATTGGATAGATCACAATTCCAATGATCTAACCTCACTGTTGGCTGGAATGTTCCAATCCTAGATGAAATACTGTTGAGATTACGCACCTGATCTTCAGAATCTAGGGGTGATCTCCAATCCCAAGTCAGACCTCCGATTTGTATTCTATCTTTAACTTTGCAAGTTTTGTGTTTCTCCAGGTGATACAGTTTTGGGAATGCATCTTTGAGAGATCCGTTACCACACCAGACATCCAACCAAAATAAGGTCTTATCACCTGCACATACTTTTTTTTGTAATGACATCGTTAATATCAATACCTACTTTCTTCAGATCATTTTCTGCCCCTGCGACATTGTTCCAAACGCCAGTAATTGATTTCTTCGACATACAGTATGAAGGTTTGTTACCGAGATTGTGAATACCAGTGATCACACGAGACCATAATGCCATGCCATATGTTTGTAGTCGCCACCACCATTTGGTGATTAATGACAAGTTGAAAGCTCTAAGCGATCCCAATCCCAGCCCACCTGTTTCTTTTGGTGCTACTATTTTTTCCCATGCCACCCAAGTTATTTTGTATTTATTGTCCATTCCACCCCAAAGGAATTGCCTTCGGATTTTTTTTCCAATGTATCAATCACTACCAAATGTGCAACAAGTAAAGAGAAGAAGTAAGAGGGAAGACTACCTAATACTGCCTTGGTAAGGGTTAAACGACCTCCAAATGAAAGGGTTTTTGCCCTCCAAGGAGATAATCGGGAGTGAAAAATATGTTGGGCACGACATGGCAACCATTTTATGCAAAAACCTAATTTTCGAGCGTTAAGCCCTATTTAAAGGAAGTGATGAATAGGGTTTCCCGCCACCTTTAGCATCTATCACACCCAAACTTCCTTTTAGCCAAACCCTAGCCCTCTTGAGGCTTTTGAGGTCACTTTTGCAAGCTTGTGGTGGTTTTCAAGGAAGGAGAAGAAGAATTGGAGCATAGTTCCTCCAAGCAACCTCTAATCATCCTTGTGTGTAGCTTTTTGACTTTTTGTAAGTCCTCAAACTCTCATATTTTTGTTTTATGCCTCTTAGATCTAGGTTTTATGCTATATTTTGCCCCATTTGTGAAGATGGGATGAGTAGCAAATATAAAGTACTTTATGATCTCTCTGAGTCCCAAGAGCATTATATCTCATAGATCTAGGATCTGGTGGTGATTTGGTGACTTTGCATGAATTCTAGGTGATTTTCCATCTTTTGACCTAGATTTGAGAAAGGACATGCATGGATATAAAGTTTGCATTTTTAGGGATCATTAGAGTCCCTAAAACCCTTCTGGAAGTTTTGGGTTGCAGACTTCATGGATTAAGTGCTTAATGGTTGATTTCATGCATTAAGTTTCCTTTTTGGACCTTGGAAATGAGATCTAGGCTTATAGGGATGTCTCAATGGATCTAATTGGAAACTTTATCCATTAATACCTTTGGAAAACTCATATGTGAGCTTTGGAGCTCATGGAATCGATAGAAAATGACTTAAATCTTTAAGTTGTTGAACCTAGTTTCCACGACGTGGCGTTTGGCTGCCACGACATGGTGACTAGGGAGGCACACAGTTAGTTTGTATTTATTATGCCATAACGTAACCAATAGGAGGCCATGACATGGCGGCCCTCTGAAGTCAACTTTGGACAGTTGACCTTAACTGTTAACCTGGGTTGACTTTTTGTCAAAGTGCTAGTTCTAGGGTATAGACTAAGGTTGGACCTTGTTTGATTGTTAAGTGTATTGTAGCATGGCTTTCGTGGTAGTTAACTATGGTTTATCTAACTTCGAGAGACTGGTGAGTCTTCTCAGTATACTGTATAGGATGCTAATTGTCTTTGTCACTCTTGCATTTGTATGTTGGGTTGGCCCATTTGTATGTATGTTGGGTTGCGCCCGTTTATTTGTATGTTGGGCTGGGCCTATTTATATGTATGTTGGGCAGGGCCCATTTTCATGTTGGACTGGCCCATATATATATATATATATATATATATATATATATATATATATATATATATATATATATATATATATATATATATGTTAGGCTGGGCCCATTTGGATGTTGGGTTGGGCCTATTTGTATGGTATGTGGTATTTTAGGGAACGCACTAAGCTTTGTGCTTACAGGTTTGTGGTGTAAACATTTTCAGGTACTTCCAGTTCCAAAGGGAAGGGCCGAATTGACTGTACAACATTTCCTCCTGATGATTTTTCGTAGGATGATTGTTATTGTACTAGGATGATTATGATACCTTTTTACTATGATGGGTTTTTGGGACAAATACTATGTGGTTTGATGAATTAAAAATGAAAAAAATTATGTATGTTTTTGGGATGTTCCACATTAGGGCAAATTGCACACGTTTAGCGGTTGGGGCGACTCAGAACCCAAGATCAAAGTAATACAAAAAGACCCATTGTAAATTATTAATATTTAAAATCAAAAGAAAACATAGTCCAACGTATTATGAAAATCACTGTCACTCCGACTCGAGCCAGTGTGTACCGTCACGCCCTGCCACCCTGAGTACCTCGTCGATCCTAAAATAATAATTTTAAGGGGAAAGGGGTAAGAACAAAGCTTATGGAATTTCACACATACACAATATAATCTCATACAAGCTCTACCCTAAACATACAAACATCAACCACAGTAACTACACAACCAAACATGCAAGTCAAAGAACAAATCAGAAACAAGCATAAACCCATTGAAACACATCGACTAAGCATGATTCCCCTTTCTCATTGCGTCAAGCCCTTGGGACGCATCTGCTAAGCTCGGTCCCCCGAACCTAAAAGCA